TGAACTGCAGATAACAGTCAGCTGAAGTGGCCTGCAGTACTGCACCCTAACCACTGCGCCACCTCGGCTCTATCTATTTTGTGGGTTTAATTTAATTCTCTCTCTCCCTCTCTCCCTGCACTGCAGATCAAAACACAACAAAAATACATATGGGGCAAGCGAGACATCACCGAAGAAGGCTGTTCTCTGCTAGACTTGGCTGAGAAGGTGAGGCTTGTGTTAAAAGTGGAAGAACGGATTTCGCAAGGGTGTTAAAAGAAAGCTGGTTTGTTGTGGTGCTTCAGGGGCTGGATGAGAAAATGGGAGACGGGGAGTTCTAGTCCCACATTAGGCATGGAAGCTGGCTGGATGACTTCGGGCCAATTGTTGTGGGCAGCCAGCGCAGTTGGCAGCAGAGTCGGACAGTGTGGTGGTTGGAGAAGAACATGAGCCAGTCCTGGAGTCTGGGGAAGACTCGGATGAGGGCTCTGCGTCGGAGGCAGAGACGAGGGCCGAGGCCGCCTGGTAGTTCTCAGCTGCCTTCGGAGCTAGACAGCAGTGAGGCAGAGGAACAGGTGGAGCCTGTTCCCAGTGTGAGCTGCCAGAAGAAAAGAACAACTCAGAAATCAGGGTCGACTTGGGAGTAAAACCACAGGTGGACGGTGAATGGCCCCTCCCAGAGGACATAAAAGAGGAGCGACAGGGGAGTGGAGTTTGCAGGAGATTATTAGTTTGCTCAATTGGTTCCTGACTCTCCGAGACTCCTGGCCAAGTTTTGCAGAGATCGGCCTGGCAGCTCTCCAAGCCTGATAAGGTCTGTGACCGTAAATCTTCCCTTGAAAGACTTTGCTGGATGCTTTTGCAGGAAACGATTCGTTTGGTCAATAGTTAGATTCATTTCAGGAGTGTGAGGATCTGTCCGTGAGTCTCAGAGACTCTGTGCCCAGAGGCTTTCCTTGCACAGCACCGCATTTGGGAAATATTGGCAGCTTTCCAAGATAGATAAGGTCTGTGGTCATAAATACACCTTTGATAGACTGTTTGCCAGGCTGAAGGGGAAGGAGAGGAATTCACATTCGTTTCATAAAAGGGGTTTTGTCAGGATCAGGACGCTACCTCGGTGCCTTTTGGGGGGGAAGCCTAGGTCAGAACACCAATCACCAGGGGAAGGCGAGTCCTAGTTCCGTCTTAAGCATGAACACCAGCTGGTTCATTCTGTGGCAATCACCAGGAGACAGTGAGTTCTAGTCGTGCCTTAGGCATGAAAGCTGGCTGGTTTGGGTAATCGCCAGGAGGCGATGAATTCTAGTCCTGTCTTAGGCATGAAAGTCAACTGGGCGACTTTGGCCTTAGTCCCTTCTTCTCAGCACCCTTCACAGGGTTGTGGTTATGGGGGATATAAAAGTCAGGAGGGTTATGGAAGCCACCTCGAATTCTCCGAAAGAAAGCCAAGGTTTCATCACCCTCCTGTAAACCATGGAGCTCGTAGCCCCGTTGTTGGCGCTGCGTGGCAACACGGGCCCCACCCGTCTCCTTCCTTCCTTCCTCAGGGCATGGCTTGGGTGAAATACGCCAGCGACACCGTCGGGGTGATCTTGAAAGAGCTGAAGCAGCAATCTGGCCAGGGATCCTTCCGGCTGCTGGTGGCGGTAGACGGGATCAACTCCCTTTGGGGGAAGACGGCCCTGAAGCATAACAAGCAAGAGGTAGGTTCCCTCGTTGACCTGGCTTGCATGTCACACTAAGCGACATTTGGTTTAAGCGCGGCTTAGCATATACTTGGCACCACTTAAGACGCCGAGATTGTCGATCAGGAGGTTGGCAGTTCAGCGGTTCGAATCCCTAGCGCTGAGTCACGGATTAAGCTCCCGTGACTTGTCCCACCTTCTGCCAACCTAGCAGTTCAAAAGCAGGTAAAAAATGCAAGTAGAAAAATAGGAGCCACCTTTGGTGGGAAGGGAAGAGCGTTCTGTGTGCCTTTGGCGTTGAGTCATGCCGGCCACATGACCCCAGAGACGTCTTCGGACAGCGCTGGCTCTTCGGATTTGAAAAGGAGATGAGCAGCGCCCCCTAGAGTCAGGAATGACTAGCCACGTATGTGCGAGGGAAAATCTTTACCTTTAGCACATAACAGCGCTGGATGTAAGGCTGTTTGTTTAGCAATTTGTTTTGCAATGGTTGGAAACTAACCAAAGAGAGAAGCAACGTAGAACTAAGGAGAAACT